ATTTTTGCCCAATTTGTAATGTATTTTCATGCGTTAGTATTTGGTTTGTGTGCAAAATTTAACGAAGCCATAGCAGTACAAGCCCAGACTGTAAAAATCATGAGGTCAACACAAACCAGCCACAAAGGCCCGCCCATGGGCTGTGTTGCTGTGCTGGCTGGTGACCACCGCTGGGGAACACGAGCCTCCAGCGCTGCGACTCCGGGCTCTTGCTGCTGGCCTGTCTCCCCTCTGCAGGGCCCAGCCGTAGCTTGGCCTCGCAGAGGACAGTCGTGACCTCTCTCAGGTGGCGAAGCCTCCTCAGAGTCCCGGCTGTCTGCAGGGCACGGCCCCGCGCGCTTGCCCCAACAGGGTCCTCACGCGCCGAAGCCATTAAGTCATGACCACAGACCCGAGGCCATGCAGCGCTGCCTGGGTTCTGCCTCTGTCATACTGCGTGACTTCTAGCTTAAGCATTTTCTAGGCTTTTCTGGTGCAGAGAAAGCTTCATTTTTCTGGAGAAAGCCTCTACTTAGAAGCTTAAAGCATCATTCTACACATGAAATTTCTGTTGACTAAAATGGAATGACCTGTAGGCACGTGATGGAGGATTCTCACCTTCTGAGACGTTCTGAGCTGTCTCTTTTCCAGTGTTTACTACAACACCGGGCTGCCAAACCCTGCACAGAGATTGAGATTCCCTATGGAGAAACCTCCTCGTCCACCAAATGGCCATTTACAAGTGAATGGGCTAACACCAGACTGATGGGTACCTGCCCTGGTAAAATCTTTAAAAGCTGGGGCACAACACAACCTAGTAGATACTCTGAGTGGTTTAAACGTTCCTTACAAAGCCCACTCTTTGTGCTATTCAATTCCGAGGAACTGACTTGCAGAGCTGGGGGCAGAAATATTAATGCATAGGTTCCTTGCTAGAGGAGGCCCAGTGAAAGAAATCTGCCACAATTGTAAAGAATAATTGTTGCTAGTTTATTTACAACAAAATGCAAGGAAAAATACAATATTAAAAATAATAAATAACTTGGAAAAATCAGAAACTAAGTGATATGAATGAAAAATATGACAATCAAATTCTCCTGGTGAGCCTTGCATTATTTAACATGCAGAGCATTTCAAAACTTGGTCCTTCTTTCATAGTAGTGATGTATTGCCTTATGTAGCCATCACTGCTCTAAATAAAAGAAATTAATTGCTGGACATTCCGAGTCATGTGGGTTATCACAGAAATGAAATAAAACAATGAAACCTGTTTTAGTGACACCACAAAACTACAGGAGATTGTAATTCAATGACCATGCTGTTCATTTAAAGCAAAACATTGTTAGACTTCTTTAGCAATTTTAACTTACACATATAAAACCAAGTCCAAACAATGGAAACGGAAAAATTTCTATTGACAAGATCATGAATTCTCTCTTACTGCACTCACTAATTCATAAATAGCATATACATTTGGCTTACTTCAAACGATAGCACATTGTTTTGAAGCTATAGTGCAGCAAGCTTCAAAGCAGTTTTAACAAAATATAGCGGTCTTGTTACAAACTAAAATTCAAGGAACAAACATCTCCATTTCAAAATCTTTACAGCAGCAATTAATGCAAATTGGCTACTAGATGTCACAAAATCACCTTCCAGAATAATCAAAAAAGCCAAAGAATAAGGTCAAATAGTTTCCTTCCATAGAATTTATCCAGTCATTTACAAAATTAACCATTACATTCATAAGAAATCCCATTAAGTACGTGTTTCAGGAATGTGCTGCTCCTCATAGTCTTTATGGATACTTCCCTTTTTTAACCTTCTAAAGACTGCAATGAATTGCCAGTTATTTTGTAACGATTGTTCTAAATGAAATACATAAAAGTATGAGCAAAGCTGGGAGGAGGTTTTACTAGAAACCCAACAAACTAATCACATGATTTGCTCTGTATTCTTCTTGATGAAAAATTCCTTGCTGAGTCCTAGCAGAGCTGTGCCATGTAATTCTTTAGCCACCGTGGCAGAGAGCAGGAACGTGGCTGTTGTGCCGATTCAGCTCTGCTGCCTGGCACCACACTCTAAAGATGTACTCACTCAATAATCACATCATTTATTTCTGCAAAAGAAGTGATGAACACCTACAAAACGCTCTCTGTTTTTCTCCTAATAAACATGTTGGAGAATACAATAGAAAGCACTAAAAAAGTAATGAAAATAACCCCCTTGCCTCAGGATGTTATACAGAAGTATTCAGACCTTCCTTTTCATTTAATTTTGTGTGGTTTTGTGTGTTTTCTGGGAATATTCTAGAAAAAGTTATCCTACCTAAACAAACAAACAAACAAAACCCAACCAAACAGAAAAAGAAATTTACAGACCACATTGACCAAATGGGTAATGACTGGTTGGGAAAGCGAAGCAGAACACAGCAGAGGACACTGACACAGGCCAGGAAAAGCCCAGGGTATTTCTTATCCAAAGCAATGAAACCTTACAGATCTTTCTGTTTGCCCTCACTAGGAAGCATCATGGAGGGAACCGGGCTGATCGCGATCCCTGTTGTGGCCAGTGGTGAATTCAGACTGTTCGGTCAATAAATCTGGTGATCCTCGAGAACAGCAGTGCTCGGCGCAAGGGCTACGGCAGCAGCACATGCAGACGGAGACACAGCATTAAGCAGTCTGTCGTTTCTTCCATGACATGACCACTGTCTTTCTCCTGCATCGCCATCATGCAGCTATTAAGATGTGTCCTGTTCAGGTATGTTAATAATTTCCATACATGCCTTATCCCCAAACCTACTTAACACGATAATCTATGTGTCCACATGGGACTGGAGATCAATCAGTTGAATATGAGCAAAGGTGTGACTGCTTTGGTCTGATAATCTGTGTGCAACCCCGATTGCCAAAATGTATATAGAAACAGTAATATGTAAGCACAAGGGCATGATGACTAGAGCTGAGCAAATTTTTCTTTGACAAAGAAAAAAATTCATTGAAAAATAGACTTTCAGGTGGAGCAGACCTAAGCCATTTCTATATAGGTCAAATTCAGGAAATGAAAAAACAACCAAACAATGCTTTATGTTTGCAAAGGTTTCCCTTCACTGGCAATATTCCAACCTTGCTACTAAATAAATAACAATATTAGACCAGTTGTAATAATGAATATATAATCTGCACACTTTTTAAGCTGAAATCATAAACTAACGTAGGAAAGTTCTGATTGCATCATTAGAGCAGCTTCTTTTTAAACAAAAAAATCATCACCCATTAGTTTACTAATCACACAGAATTACTAGCTCTGAGAAGCAAAGCAAAGCGAAACATGGACAGTAAGTGGGAGAATGCATGAAGTCAGACCACAGCTAACCTACAAAGAGCTCCCGGGTTTTGCTAGCTACAGGATTTTAACTATCAAACAAATATACACTTGTTTCCAGTGCAGGCTGGCAGTGGAATTTCCTCTCCTGCTACTAAAACTACCCTATAAATATCACACATTCAACGTAACTTCTACTGGATCTACAGCCATCGAGAAGTTCAGTGCATTTAAGCCAGTCAAATCACAGCATCGTGCTGAGAAGGTGGCACAAACGTCCCTCCCGGGTTAAAGGCCATCCCCAGTCTGATTGTTCAGTATTCAATGATAGTTCAGCTCTGGAGGATTCTCTTGGTTTTAATCCAGGTACCACGTCACCGGTGGTACAAAATATCACCCACTTTGATCATACGATTCAGGTAGTAGCTATCGTTCGCTGGGAATTGAACAGCAGCTTACTTAACGTCTCCTACAGCTGCCAATAGAGACAGATACTGACAGCACTCCTTAAATACCAGTTTTCATGAAAGAGAACAAAGTACCCCAAATGGGGGTCAGTGGGGAAAGTTTCTCACTGAGCTTACTTTTAGAAAAGGAAGGAAGGAAGAGACCACTTCTGCCATTTATTCTTCTCCTCCTTCCACAATTTGCACTTCCTGCTGGGAAACATCCTTTCCTGCATTTTAGTTCCTGAGACTGAAGAGTGATTTCACAGGCAGACCAGGAAGAGCACTTCTGTTTCCTTAACGTCACCCTGCACGGGACTGCGCAGGCCCACGATTCAATTGCTTTCTAAAGCGACTGATTGTGTTCCCCCCTTCCCTAGACGATGGCAAAGCCTGGAACCAGCTTTCTGTTAGCAGAGATTGTGCTGTTTAGGAAAGATGCGAGGCAGGAAAGAAAAAGGAGTCTCCTCTTTTCTTTCCTTTACATTCAAGGTCTTACAGCGTAACTACCGCTCT